AAGAGAGAGAGAGAGAGAGAGAGAGAGAGAGAGAGAGAGAGAGAGGGCGTCAGCCAGTGTTTGACGCTGAGTTTGGTGCACCAAACTCGGCGTCAGACACTGGCTGACGCCCTCTCTCGCTCTCTCTTTCTCTCTCTCTCTTTCTCTCTCTCTCTCTGATGAAATAAGAATGAATCTTCTGCCTTATCGCGGAAAGATTCATTCTCATTTCATGAGAGAGAGAGAGAGAGAGAGAGAGAGAGAGAGAGAGAGAGAGAGAGAGAGGGCGTCAGCCAGTGTCTGACGCCGAGTTTGGTGCACCAAACTCGGCGGCGGTCGGTGGGTACCCCGCATGGATTTCTCAAGCAGGGCGAGGTACTGGTGGTTTAACCACTCGACAACAGAGGTTTGTGAGGAGACAAACGTGGCCAATTTTTTTCCCTCCTTTTGATACCGTCCGCTTTTAACCGAGTCGGCAATTAGGCCTGCATCATACCATGACTCCTCATAGATACGAACTAATTTCTTTTTCAAATCGTTCGACAGCATTGATGCCCTTTCTTGAAAAAGAATCGTGACCGCATGCTCTCTTAACCATTGTAGGTTAAGCTCCGAAAAACTTTAGTTTAAATCAAAACGTGCAAAATCCTCCCCCAAATCGGCGTTGCCGATGTCCAAACCAGAAGGCAAAATCCCATCCCTGTAACAAGCTTCAAAGATGGAGGTGAGTTGTGTCTCCTCTTCCCTCGTATAGACCTTCTTTTCAGATGCCATACTGGGCAGCCCCAAAAGAAGAGATAGCAAAGCAACGTAACTTACCTGTCCAAGTATTAAATAATAAGGCCTCTTATTAATATAATAGTCAACGTTAATTACCACCTTCCATACAATCCAAGCAAGGAGGAAAAATAGGGGAAAGTGAAAGGCCATGGGTTATACCTCCACTCTTCAGCAGTCAAAAGTCTCGAAACCTCGACTAGGATCCATGCTCCATTCGATCGCCTTTGAACCCACAAGGGATTCGGTTATCGGTTATGCAAATGCTCAACAGCGTAGCCAGTTCAATCTGGTAGTCTGGCACAAGGGTCTGTAATAGCCCCATTCGTCAATACTCAAGCCCACGAAGGATAACTCAGTCGAGCCTTCCGGGCTGTTCACGGTTGGAACCCACCCGGCGTAATAGGCCGTTGCTCTTCTAGGTGAAGGCAGTGTCCCCGCCCTAACCTCCATAGCTTCGCCATGGGGTTGAACAGCATCGCCTGTAACCTCGAAATTCCGAGATCGCAGGGAGTAACGCGTTAGCGCTACCCCAAGCGGTGCCCACCGCCACTCTCTTTTTTTTCCCCTGGGTCTGTGTTTCCACACGCATAGTATTTTCTTTTTTTTTTTTTTTTTTTTTTGGAAAGTGTCGAATTATATTGCAAAACCATCATTGGGACCTCACACGCAAAGTATTTTCGCATCTCAAGGCCAGGTCGCGACCCTCTCCGCGAAATTTGCAGAAGTACGTGCTAATGTGAGTACATGCCCTGAGATAGTTTTTTTGTTTTTTTTTTTCCGACCATCAACACACAATATATATGGCCTCGCTGCACTAGTCTCGAAATGTGCAAAAAGAGAGTGAATCTTACGGTAGAACATGAAAAGATGCACCGCCATGATTTTTGTCTTTTCTGCGTGTCGAGAGTAGTGGAGCGAGGCCCTATTCTGAAAGAAAGCGAAACCGAACACATTTCTCACTGTAAAAGGGCATTTGTTTCCCTCCTTTCATAGCGGCTCGCTGCACTACTCTTGACATGCACAGAAGACAAAAATCGTGGCCGCGTATCTTTCCATATTCTAGCCGAAGATTCATAGTTTAGGGCATCGCCACACCACTCTCGAAATATGCAAAATGAGAACGAAATTTCCTCTAGATAATGGCCAGATGCACCACCTTTTTGTCTTTCTTTTCCACATTTCGAGAGTGGTGTGGCGATGCACTATATATTTTCTATATGGCATGTGGGCCGAGGCCCCCGCGGATACGACGTCGATAGCACGACGTGCCACTTTCCAGATCGGACTTTCATCAAGTTGGTTTTTGAGAAGTTCACTTCTGAGGAGAATAATGGATTCCTGGGACGCTGGACCCGGTTTCCAGCAAGGTTCTTGGAGACTCCGGGTTGAATTGTGAGGTCCCCGGCCTCAGCCTTTCTTTGATTGGAATATAAAACGTCAACTTCTCAAAAAAAAAAAAAAAAAGAAGAAGAAGAAAAGCGACGGCGGGTAATATACAGGTCCCAGTTGCGCCACTCGCAATCTGGCAAGACGTTGAATGCCACTGGACAGATTGTCTGTCCAGATGCATTCAAAACTGTTGGCTCTAAAAAAAAAAAAAAAAAAAAAAACTGTTGGCTCTTGGCGGATAGCGCAACCATGCGACAGGCCGCGTTTTCACATTTCGGCGTGTCGTGCTCCCTGACCCGTCATCCGGATCCCAGTGGAAACGTGATGATTGCTGTACACCGCGCCACCCTGCCCGTAACGCGTTTTCGGAGACTTCTGCAAAAAGACGAAAATAACAGAGAAGACAAATCGTTAAAGTTGTGGCCAATGAGGACGAGGGTGCTGAAATGAAGAAGAAGTACAGAGAATCACATCGCAAGATTCGTGGATCTCCACTGCACGGCACGGCTCGCTACAAGAGGCGCCCGACCAGTGCAGGACTGATATCTGCTTGCCACCCGCTCGTTGCTGGGCTATTCGATGCTGACCTCTCCCCCAGAGAAGCCAGCAAGATACACTATACACGCTGGGGAATTCCTTTGTCTTTCGGAACACTGGCCGAGTGATAGGACGCTGGAATACATTAGTACCAGGCTACCAGGGTGCCTTGTTTTGTCGGTTTTGTTTTTCGTTCGTCGTTTCTGTTGCTTTGGCACGGGGCGTAGGCGCTTGGTCTACGCCGCCAAAGGTGCTCTGCTGATGGTTGATGCCACCTTGAGTAATCAGTCAGGTTCTTTAAAAAAAAAAAAAAAAAAAAAAAAAAAAAGACTAATCAGTCAGAAACTACAGCCTTTTTTCTTCTTTTTTTTCTGGGAAAAAGGTGGGGATCCTTTTTTTTTTTTTCGGGAAAAAGGTGGGCCTTTTTGGGGAATTTTGGGGGGATTTTTGGGAAGCGATTTCCAGTTGAGTGCCTCTCGATGACTTTCCGTGTTGAATTGTGAGGTCCCCGGCGTCGATCCTGCTCACTTATTATTTTAATAAAACTTTTCTATCCTTTCCGGAAA